AAATTTCATGATTAATCTGCAGATGAATCCATCTCCAGGAGGATTTTACCAGTTCCTAGAGCCCCCTTCAAACCAAAGTTCTTGCTTCGATATTAATAATATCTCTCAGTTTCCAGACGAAGAAAAAAAGGCTTGTTTGATTATTTCCATAAATTTTAAATTACATTTTATAAAAAAGAAAAAGAAAAATAGCGTTTTCTAATGTTCTTTAATTTGTTTATTGCATAGATGGTCATAGCGAAGAGGCCATGGCATTTTGTCACAGAAACAATCTCAAGGTTTCTTTTGTTTTTTTCTTGGCTTCACTCATTTTCTTGATTCTGGTAACAGTATGAATAACCTAAGCTTATTTTGAAAATGTTAAGGGACATGAAACAAAACCGGTCATTGGATATGAGATTGATAAGGCCGGCTCAAGATTCCGGTACAACAATTTGTAACTCCAACTCCATTCATTCACCTACCTCAATTCCAAGTTTTCCACGCCATTACCCGAGGTTTATCTCGCAGGTATATTAGAGATCTTCCTATTGTATTTTTCAGCTATATATGTCGATTAATTTGATGAAGTTGCTTAGCCTGTTTCATCAAATCATCTTGGTTTTAGTATGAGCAACAACAGCAAAAACAAAAAGACTTTGATGAGAATGTGCAAAGCACAAGTATGAAGCCCTTCTATGACTTCATACCCTCTTATGAACAGAGCAATGCTGACCAAGAACAAGGAGCCTCTGATCGATATGAATCAGCCAGTGATCATGGAATTGATCTCAGCCTTAAGTTATAGAGAGTCTAGGCAAAAACTAATATAACTACTAGATTCTTCATGTTTTATGCAGCTTTCGATTATGACATTTAACTTTTCTGCAACTAAATTTAGTCTAGTGATTCATCAATCTGCCGAAAAAAATCAAGACTTCGTTAACCAGAATATTTATTCTTAGTAAATGTTGTTGGAAATGTGCGAAAATCTAAGCTCTTAATGCTACTAAGAGTTCTAAACTCTTTCACTCAATTATTTATACAAACTAATGTAAGAATCAGAAACAGAACAAAAAATTTGAAACCAAGTAGTATTTATTAAAATCTTGGTTTAGCTGTCCCAAGATCTCAAACCTCTCCAAGTGCTTATGAACTTCTAATATGAGCTCAAACCTCACCATAATCGCCGCTCAATTAAATGAACACACGCATCAACATATGAAGTATGAACAAGACAGAGTATAATCAAAAGAACATGGCCTTTATTAAGCTCTTAACCCACAATATGGAAAACTTTCAGTCCGATCAGAGCTAAAAAGTGAAAACTTTAGTGTTGACCCCGAAGATGATAATGGAGATAGATAAGGACAAGAGATGAGATATACATAGCAAAGGCCATTACAGAGATCCAGAAGGGATAAGTCGATCTCACATAAGCCGGTAAGCCTATTGCAAGGCCCACAACCACAGCAAGAAGAGCTTCTGTTGAGTAATCCCATTTCAATCCTTTCGTGTATACAATCGCCAATGTTATCGACATCCCCATCAGATTGTTCATCGTAACATCCCTGTAGATCTGTAGAAACTCACAGTTAAAAAGCTACTTAACGTTGAGTTTCTCAATATGTAAATGTAGTAACGTAAAGTAAACTAACCTCAGAGAATTTATCAGATGCGATTTTTGCCTTATCTTTCTTTCGACAGAAATGTGCGGATAAAGTGTTCTTTAGGTTTCTAACCAAAGGGATTACTACAAATACGGTGTAGAAAGAAGGAACTCCAGATGAAACCGATAAGAGTCCAATGTTCATCATAAATGGTTGAGCAAGAAAGATGACGATAAGCATCCCACCGATGACTTTAATCATAGCTCTTAAGGTTCTCATTGAGAGGAGTTTATCAGCAAGAGTTTGCTTTGGCATTTCCAGCTTTAATACTGCAGCTTCCTCAGTAACATGACCAGGATCGGATCTTGTTCTGTAGATGCATGTGTTGTTATGTCTAGGAGTTTCTTGGTTATCGAATTTGTAATGATTCAGTAGTTTCATAATCCCTTCTTCGAATTCCTTCTCGTCTATTTCCCCATCTTTATCTTTGTCTAAATCCGCAATTAAAGTGTTTGCAAACTCATTGATGTCACATTTCATTCTTCCAAAAACTCCAAACTCTACGGTTAAGTCTTTAAGCTCCGATATTTGAATCTTCCCGTCTTTGTTCCTATCGATTCTATCAAACAAGCTACC